CCCGTTTAGGGCGAGCCTCTACTGTTGTACTTATCGGTATCAAAGTTCGCTATCAGTGCGACATTGGTATGTGAAGAAACGGGAGTGCAGTGGCCAATATACTATGTGAGCAAAAGGCTACTCGACGTGGAGACGAGATACCCTGGAATGGAGAAGCTCGCCTATGCCCTTGTCATTACTGCCAGGAAGCTGCGACCTTATTTCTAAGCACATTGCATTCATGTGCTGACAAACTTTTCATTGAGAAAAATGATGCAAAAGCTTGAGGCATCGGGCATGTTGATCTAGTGGACGATGGAAATGTGTAAGCATGATATAAAATACATTCCAAGAATGGCAATCAAAGGTAAAACTTTGGCAGATTTCATATCAGAATTCTTCTATCAGCCAGAAGAGGGAATTAGCTCATCGGGGGCAAATACCTCAAGAGAAATCAAGCAGTAGAAGCCAAAGCTCGACGACTTATATTAGTGGACTTTGTATGTGGATGGCTCCTCAAACGAGAAGAAGGCAAAAGAAGGACTCTTGCTTGAAAGTCTTGAAGGAAACCCGATTAGAGCCACAGTAAGGTTTGGATTCGCCGCCTCCAACAATGAGGCTAAGTACAAGGCATTGCTTGTAGGGATTCGCCTCGCCAAGGAAATAGAGCCAGAGTCCATGAAAATTTACAGTGATTCACAACTCATAGTCCACCAGATTACTGGGGAGTACCAGGCAAAGGAGGACAGAATGGTATCCTACCTTCAGTGGGTGAAATCCAAGCTTAAGCAATTTAGATCCTTCATAGTTGTTTAGATCCCAAGGGAGAAGAATTTGATTGCCAAAGCTTTAGCCTGCTTGGCCTTTGCAATGAGCCAAGAGAAAGCTGATTCAATACTAGTTAAGTTCCTCCCAAGTCCAAGCATCTCCACTCTACAAGAACTAATCTTAGCAACGAGTTAGATATATAGTTGGATGGATGCAATCATTGCCTACCTAAGGGATGGAACATTGATAGAAGGAAGAAACGAAGTCAGAACACTTCGCGCAAAGTCAACTCGATACACGCTAATCAATGATAAGTTGTATAAGCGTGGGTTCATTGTACCGCCATTGCGATGTATCGACCATGAGGATGTGGACTATGTTCTGAGAGAGATTCATGAGGGCATCTGCGGGAACCATGCAGGAGGCAGATCCCTAGCATACAAAGTGCTTCGTCAAGGTTATTACTAGCCAACAGTTTTTGACGATGTAGCAGACTATGTGCGCAAATGCGACGATGCCAGAGATTCGCGAATACTCTACGAGCTCCGCCTCAAGAGTTAACTACGCTGACAAGCCCCTAGCCATTCGCAATCTGGGGCATCGACTTGATAGGCCTTTTGCCTCAAGAAAAAGGGGGCGTCAAGTTCATAGTGGTTGCCGTGGATTACTTCCCCAAGTGGGTAGAAGCCGAGCCTTTAGCCACTATCACGTCAAACAAGCTAAAGGATTTCATCTACAAAAACATCATTTGTAGGTTTGGAATCCCCCACACTATAATAACTGACAATTAAAAATAGTTTGACAGTGAGGACTTTAGATCTTTTTGCGAATGGCTTGGGATCAAGAATAGTTTCGCCGTTGTTTATCGGCCTCAAGCCAACAGTCAAGTAGAGGATGTAAACAAAGTCATCAAGCACACCATTAAAAAGAAGCTTGATGTCCTAAAGGGAAGATGGGCCGAAGAATTGCCCGAAGCCTTGTGGTCTTATAGAATGACAGCTAGAAGCTTGATAGGAGAAACCCTGTTCTCTCTATCATACGGGTATGAAACAATGGCCCCGGTTGAAGTGGGGATCAGCTTGTTCTGAAGGAAAGTTTTCAACGAAGAAACAAATGAAGACATCCTCTACCTGAGGCTAGACCTAATCGAAGAACATTGAGTCAAGTCTCAGTTAAGGCTCGCCTCGTATCAATAGTGATCCAGACAATACTTTAACACCAAAGTAAAAAATAGAGACTTTGAAGTGGGTGATTTAGTTCTTAGAAAGGTTGTCCATGGTACTCAAAACCCAAACTTGAGAGCACTTGGGCCCAAATAGGAAGGTCCATTTAGGATCTCCAAATAACTTGCGCCAGGAATGCCTTAACGGCGAAGCAATACTGTGAGCCTGGAACACTAAGTATTTACGAAGGTATTACCAATGAGCAGCTCAGGTTCCACTCATGTTTTATTTAATCATTCATTGTAAGGCCGTTTACAACCAAGATATTCTATCAATAAAAGAGGTATTGTGCATAATTTTTCTTTGTTCACCATCTTTATTTACTTGTTTAGCATTTTTCATTCATTGCTTCAAAAATTTTTTTTTTTTTTTTTATTTTTTAAAAAAACTCGTAGTCAAGAGTCCAAAAAAAAGGCAGCTTATCTCTATAAGCCACATACAATCCAACTCTATAAGGGTGAAATACCCCAAATCGATGAAGTTATAATTGAAAAAATTCAAGAAAAACATGTAAGAGGAAATCGGCCCTAAGCCGGCGACCAAAACTCGAGGCGGACAATGGATTTAATGTCAGAGTTGTCGCATAAGATTTGCTAGCATACATTTGAAAAGCTCCTCAATAAGTGAGCTACACATAACTTGGATCAAATTCGGATTTTTTATGACAAGTCCGATTAGGATGATTGAAATAACTCTATAGGAATATAAAAAAATTGCTCGATAGGGATATACCAAAATATCTTCTATTCATTATAGAGTTTGGGTACAAACTTAAAAAAAAAAAAAAAAAAAAAAGATATACAATGATTTTTTGAACTAGGTGAAAGATTAGAGGCATCATCTTCGGCCGAACCAGAGAGCTCGTCGCTGATTAGGAGAGACGGTTCCTCGACGGTAGGAATGACAGCGACCTCTTTAATGTTGGGAGCCTCACGCAGAGGAAGATCGGCAACTCTAAGGGGAAGAGTAACCAGGGGAGCTGGATCCTCGACTTCTTGCTTGAGGCCAGTCTCCTCCTTGCCTTCCTCAACCTCCTCTTCACCCTTACCATCAAGCTCGAAATCATTCGAGCATATGTAAGCCATTCCCTGAGCTTCAGTTTTCATCCTATCGACCTTTATCTGATAAGCTTGCAGAAGGAAGGAGAAGTTGATTGAGGGGTGAGCTTCCGACAATACCTACACCAAGAAGACCGATGTCTCCCAAGCTCGAGTGGTGATGGCCTCATTCAGTTCCCCGATTTGAAGCCTGAGTTGTTTGGCCTCAGCTTTAACTTTTCGTCAACCTTCTGCTTCATGGGCAAGGTCGAGCGAGGCCTGCTTGAACTTTGCCTCTCAATCAGAGCTCGAAATTCAGCTTATTGTTGGCACCCCGCTACTGTGCCAAACTCTTCTCAGCTTCGGTCACTTCGGCTTCAACTTTTGATCGCGCGGCCTCACTTGCCTTGATCTTGTTAAGGAACTCCCTTTCCTTGACCCTGAAGGTTACCATCTCTTCCTTGAGCCGCTCCAACTTGGCTTGCTTCATTTCTATCTCTTTCTCCACAACCTGGGCCCTGGCTAGGGCATCCTCCTTCACTGTCTCCGCCAATTGCCATCCCTGATGATTGCCCTCCAACGTGGGATAACACTCATCATAGAGAAGCCTGCTTGCCATGGTAGCCTAAAGAAAGAAAGGATAGAAAGTCAGTAAGAAATAATGATAACATGCATAAAAGAGTAAAGAAGGCAAACTACTAGTACCTTTGTCGTATAACTGCACACTGAGGCCAGCATTTGGGTGGGAGATGAATCTCAAATGCTCGCAAATGTTCGCAGGGTGATGCCATCCTGGCCATCGCGACCTTAACGCTGATATGGTCGGGAAGTTGGTCGATTAAAGCATCGACGCAGCTCAAGCTGCTTCATCCATCTTCTTGCATCCTTATCGAGACAAGATGGACTTACCTCCTCTAGCAATGGCAGTTTCGCCCACGAGAGCGGACTTCTTCTTGGCCATAGACTTCTTTGGGCCGCCAGCCTGCACGACGATCTCATTACCTGAGTCAACTTGCTGCTCAGACATCTTCTGCTTTCCCTAAGCCCCTCTAAGGCTCAGTTAACTTTTTCTTACCCGAGCCATCATACTACTCGAGTGTCTTTTGTTTCCTCAAGCCTTCAGTTAGCTCGGGTGTTTTCTTTGCTAGCCTCTTTTGGGGTTTGAGAACATCCTTCCCGCCAACTGCCTTCGAAGCGATCGTGGGCTTCTTCGTACTTAAGCCTTCCCCAAGTTCATGCTTGCTATGCTTTGTGCTAGTGAGATCAGTAGGTTGCTTCGTCGCCAAAGCAGCTGGTGTTTTCTTGGCAGCCACAAAAGCTGTGGTAGCGTACCGAATGCACCAAATTAATTAGCCTTACTAACCTAACCACTGAATTGTATAAAGGGCAAGCAAAGGTCGATCCCATAGGGAATGACTCGATTAATTTCTATATTCTAAAACAATAAAAATAACAGAAACGCAAATTAAACTCTAAACAGTAAACCTGACAACAGTAATGAAAGGGGGTTTGTAATCAAGGCAAACTAAAGTAAATCAGAGAAATAAAATATCAGGTTAAACAATCAGTTCTCGGTTTAATATCCACCTAAACATGCATTGGATATAAAGTAACCGTAACACTGTTCTATCTCGTCATTATGGAACTACTAACCCTAGGAAACAACAAGCTCTGTTACCCGAATTCTCCCTTAGTTTGTCACTACTGAAACAAGCTCTTCGAGTAGATACTAACCCTTGAACAACCTAGAACAAGCTTACTAAATTTAATTCAATGGCAGCCTTAAGAATTAGGAGAATAGATCAATCTAAGCAACAATCACGCAAGCTCGGATTATTTAACTTAGGTTATGTTATTCAANATCAGCATTGGAACAAGGCTGGGATGAAGCAACAGCAGCAATAGAGAGCTTTGGCTTTCCATGAAGTTTATGACCAAGAGGGTACCCGTGAAGTTTGTAGCACTTGTCAATGGAATGACCAGTCATATTGCAATGGGAACAAAGAGGTGGGGTAGCATTTCCTGCCTTAAAGCAATTTTCAAGGGAGTGTCCCTGAATGTTGCAATAAGAACAATAGGGTCGGGTGGATTTCTAGGTGGTAGAGGGGGAAGGTTTTCGGGGAGATTATGATCTAGACATGTGAATCTTCTGTATCAAAGGAGCTAGACATGGCGTGGATTTGGGATCAAAGGGAGCTCTGATACCATGTAACAGACAGAAAAGCAAAAGAAGGAAAGCGAAAAACAAGGAAACAGAGAATGAGAGAAATGGCAATATGCCTTTTTCCATTCTATTATACATATGTACAGTAACCAAAATATATACAAAAGCAGAGAGAGAAAATGCTAACAACCTATAGAAGGAAAAATACAAGAAAGCCCTTATGTACAACTCAGCAAAAATACCAAACTAGAATTAAGCATCATTAGGTGCCTTCTATTCTGTTAAAGCAGAGGCCTGTGGGATATTCTCCAATACATAACACACATCCACCACGAATACGAACAGCTCAATGATTCCAACGACACTCTCCACACTACCAACCCCAACGACCTCGACCACAAATCCTTCTTCTTCGACCCTGAAGAGATCTCCTCCCTCCGCAACCACCTTCCTCCCCGCCTCAAAAACAGTTCCACATTCGAAATAACAATAGCTTGCTTATGGATATGTCGAACAACTGCTCTTCAACTCGACCATAACCAGACCGTTCGGTTTTCTTGCGTAACGAGCATCTGAAATAAGGGAAGTGGAATTCCTCTTCCTCAGGGCTATTACGGGAATGCGTTTGGATACCCCACCGCATGTGCGAAGGCGGGGAGTTTGTGTGGCAGTGGACTGGGGTATGCAATGGAGTTGGTGAAGAGGGCAAAGGCGCAGATGAGCGGAGAGTATTTGAGGTCAGTGGCGGATTTGATGGTGATGAAGGGGCGGCCCCGGTACACAAATGTGGAGAACTTCATCGTTTCGAATCTGGTGAATTCGGGGCTTGCAGAGGTTGACTTTGGATGGGGGAAACCGGTGTATGGTGGGACGGCGGGAGCTATGTCGTTGATTAGTTTTTGCATGAAGTTTCAAAGAATGGATGGGAAGAATGGGATTCTGATTTCGGTAAGCTCTCCGAAATCAAGTATGGTGAGGTTTCAAAAAGAGGTGAAGAAGATGATCGCTCAAGGAGCATCAATGGAGGATTTGTCTAAAATGAAACAGAGTGAGAAGTTATTATGCAAGCTTTAATTAAGTTTGATTTAGTTAGTTCCAAGATGTTTGAATATTATAAATTATTGTGTGGAAAATCAAAACTTTCTTTGTTGTGTGGTAAGGATTTAGAATGTCATGTAGATTGGATTTTCCAATAGAATAAGAACAACCATGAAGTCCGGTATGCGTGNAATTGCACATTGTGTAATGTATTCAGGACCATCTGACCATGGATTCCTTGGTTGCCTCACTCCATGCCTGTTAATTAATTAACTACAATTAATATTAATTTCAAGAGAATTCAAAAATGAATATGTTAGAATTTGAACAGAAAATAATAAATATATTTTTAATATTTGGTTATTAAAATTACTTATAATAATTAATAAATAAAGGTTTTTTTTGTGTGTGTGTGTGTGTGTGTGTGTGTGTGTGTGTGTGTGTGTGTGTGTGTTTATTGACGAAAATTAATCCGAAAATGAAAAGGGAAAGTTTGATTTTAGTTTTAAAAATTTTAAGATTTAGAATGTGTAGCATTATATTATGAAATTAACATTTTCGAAATGAAATATCCAAACTGATGTTTCCAAATTTTCTTCCCAAAATTTATAAAATGATTTCATATTTTTTGAAAGCGTTTTTCCCTTGTCCAGTATGTAATTTCAATACATAATAGAGTAAACGACATGCATGTTCCCACCCAAGGTTTGGTGAATTTGCAAGTTCCCATCCCTGGTTTCATAAATTCCAGATTCTCACCCTCAAATTAACAGAAAATAGTTTAATTTAAAGGTTAAAGGACAAATTGGTCATTTATACCGCATTAAATTTGAAATAAAAAATGAAAATTCAAAATAACCCTCCACATCTCAAATATCTCTCAAAGCACCCTCCACATCTCAAGTTTGAAATATGACAATCACACCCCTATGGTAGAAACGCAACTTGGCAGTTCGTGGATGACAAACGACCAGTGGGGGAGGCCAGTGTAGGTGTGGGTTTTGTTGAAGAGAGGATGGGGTTCGAATGGTTGTGAAAAGAGGTATTTCTAGTGTCAAAACCAGTCGGAATCTAGCCATAAACTTGGAGAATCACGAGAGATTGAGGGTCTGTCGATTGGTGATTTGTGGGTGCATTGGGGTGGGAGTGTGAGGGGTTTTGATGATTGTGGCGTGGGGTTCTGATGGTGGTGACGAGGGACTTGGTGATGTCGAATCAGCCAAAAATGGTCTAGGAGCAGTAGTGGGTGAGAGGAAAAGTTGCCGAAATTATGCAATTTGGCCACCTTGGTGGTGGCGGTCAGGCGAGGGTGAGGGGTGCCGCTCCTAGTCTCCTTCGCGCCACTGTTGCCGTGGCTTTGGCCGATCTATGGTGCCGATTGTGGTGGTTGGGTTTGCATAGTTCTTACGGGTGCGATGGACAAGCTTCCATCTTCCAAGGAGGTGTTGATATTTAGCAGCCACAATCAAAAGTAAAAGTTAAAGGGCAATTTGTGTTATGCAACGGAAACATAAACTCTAATAAAAGCTATTTAAATATAATAATAACAACTACTAAAGCAAAAATAAATGGCCAAATTAAATGCAAAAATAAAGAATACCAAGAATTAACAAGGTTCGGTATTATAACCTACGTCCTCGGGCGCTGTAAAAGAAAAATCCACTATCTTCAAAGAAAATTACACCCTTTTGGGCAATACTACAAATACCCAAACTATATGGGCATAAAAACAATTAACCAAAACAAAGCAAAATACAACAATACTTTTCAACTAAAGGGTACTAAAGCATAAATAAATGGTCAAATTAAATGCAAAAATAAATAATACCAAGAATTAACGAGGTTCGATATTATAACCTACGTCCTTGGGCGCTGCAAAAGAAAACTCCACTATCTTCAAAGAAAATTACACCCTTTTGGGCAATACTACAAATACCCAAATTATATGGGCATAAAAACAATTAATCAAAACAAAGGGAAATACAATAAAACTTTTCAACTAAAAGGTCCTTAATAAAAGAATCCTATACAAGAGGGGTGTAATGGAAAAATAATTTGGGATGCTTATTACTATGGCTTGGGTCCTTATATATAGGCCCCAAAAGTTCCCCCACTTTCATTCCTAAGCAATGTGGGACTTTCCTAACCTTGGCTTATTTCTGTAGGTCCCTAAACCTTTCTCCATTTTCATTCCTCCCCATGTGGGATTTTGCTAATGAGCCATTTTTCCAACAAATCTCCACCTTAGCGAATTAGAAAACCTTCAAAGTTTTGTATTCTTTGACAAATTTTGCAACACTTTCAAATGTGCCAAATGGCGCAGTCAAACTCGCAGAAATTTGATCAAGCTCAAACAATAAGTGAACTTGACCCCTGTCACTACCTTAGTCAACATATCTATGGGATTATCTTTTGTTCCAATCTTCTAGAGAATCATTTTCCCATTTTCGCATAAAAACCAAACCAATATCTACAATACCTAAAATATACCATAGAAACCATTTCACAACTTGCCAATGTCCTTTACCAAGATCATACATATCCCTGCTCACCATACTAACTGCTTGTGAAATATCAGGCCTTGTGTACCCATGGCCCATCATGCATTGATCAAATCGCTTGTACCACTGTCTTGGTGACTGCTTCAAACTATATAGTGATTTCTTCAATCTGCAAACCCAATTTTCCTTTCCAGCAACCCTATAATCATCTGGCTGAGTCTTGTAGATTTCCTCTTCGAAATTGCCATGTAAAAACGCAATTTTCACATCCAACTAAACTAGTTCAAAATCAAACTGTGCCACCAAGGTTAGCAAAATCAGAATGGAAAAATACTTCACTATTGGAGAAAACACTTCACTGTAATCAAATCCTTCCATTTGAGCATATCCCTTTACTACCAACTTAACCTTGTGTCGAACATATTCTCTATTAGGAAATCACTTCTTCTTTGCATATACCCATTTGCACTCAATTGCCTTCTTATGTAGGGATCGCATCTCATCATTCATGGCCGGTTTCCATGATTCACAATTTGAACTCCTAAGTACTTCTTTATAAGTAGTAGGAATATCATCACCTACGATTGGAAGTGCATAAGCCACCATATCAATAAAACGAGTTGGCTTGCGAATTTCTCGTCTTGGCCTATTGTATGCAATCGATTCCTGTTGCTGTGGAGACTCTTGGGATAGAATCTCCTTTTCATCTTTAGTATCCACATCAGTCTCCTCAGAATCACTTTCTGTCTCATGGACACTATCTGGTTCAATTGTTGTTTCAAACTCCACCTGTTGCAGAATACTGTTAACTTTTATCCGGCTTCCTGTTTTCTTTTCTAACATAGAAGACTCATCAAATGTCACATCCCTATTAAACATTATTTTCTTCGAACTTGGACACCAAAGATGGTATCTGTTCACACCTGAGGTAATCCTCATGAATATTGCTTTCTTTGCTTTAGGATCTAACTTAGACTCTTTCACATGATAATAAGCAGTGGAACCAAAAACATGTAAATAGTCATAATTAGAAACAGGTTTTCCAGATCATACCCCAATCGGCCTTTTGCCTTCAATTGCAGCTAATGGTAGATGATTAATGAGATGACATGCATATATAACTACCTCAACCTAAAACTCTTTGCCTAACCCATAATTGGACAATATACATTGAATTTTCTCAAATATAGTTCGGTTAATGCATTCTGCTGCCCCATTTTGCTGTGGTGTATTCCTTATTGTAAAGTGACGTACTAGACCTTCATCTTGACAAACTTTCAGAAACGGATTACTACGATACTCCCCACCGTTATCTGTATGTAATTGCTTGATCTTTCTGCTGGTCTGTGTTTCAATCATCTTTTTCCATTTAAGGAAAACACCAAGCACATCATCTATAGTTTTCATCACATACACCTAAACTCTCCTGGAAAAATCATCTACAAAAGTGACAAAATAGTGCATACCTCCCAAAGATGTTGCTTTGATAGGTCCCCACACATAAGAATGCACATAATCCAAGATACCCTTAGTATTATGGATTGCGGTGCCAAATTTCACTCTTGTCTACTTTCCCAAAACCAAATGCTCACAAAACTCTAGCTTATAGGTCTTTGCACCTTTCAATAAGCCTTGATTCACCAAACTAAGTAAGGCTCTTTTACCTGCATGCCCCAAACGCATATGCCATAGTTTGAGCATTTTTGAATCTGCATCATTTTGTGTGACTGCAACTATTGTTCCAATAATTGTACTACCATTATAGTAATACAGGTTGTTTCTCCTTATGTCTTTCATTACTACAAGAGCGCCTAAAGAAACCTTTACATTCCATCTCGCATATTCACCATGAAGCCTTTAGATTCCAAGGCTCCCAAAGAGATGAGATTCTTCTTCAACTTTGGTACATACCGAACATCTGTTAGCATTCTCGTTGAGCCATCATGATTCTTCAACCGAATTGAACCTATCACAGTTGTTTTACAAGCATCATCATTGCCCATATAAACAACTCCATCACGTTCTTCAAAATTAAAGAACCACTCTTGGAGAGGACACATATGATATGTACAACCTGAATCCATAATCCACTCATTTGATCCAGAGGTGGATAATAGGCTAGCTAGAGAGAAATCTGACTCATCTTCTTCACGCTTAACAACGTATGCATTGAAAATAGCATTTCCCTCTTTCTTTTGCAACTTTGGACAACCTTTCTTCCAATGCCCTTTCTCACGACAAAAGGCACATTGATCCTTATTGAGTTTTCCCTTCGAACGAGATCTTCCTCTTTTCTCCTTCTTACGACTCTGACTCCGCCCTCTTGCTACAAGTGCCTCTGCTGACTCATCTTTATTCTCCTTCTGATCATTTTTTCCAAATTTCATGATAGTACAAAGCAGAACAAACTGCTTCAAAGAACAATTTTTCTTTCCCATGAAGAAGGGTAATACTAAGATGATCCAATTCATCCGGAAGAGATTCAATTCATTCGGAAGAGATCTAACTAACAACATAGCTTTATGTTCATCTTTG